CTTTAGCCACTAAAAGTAATCTGTGTGCCTCTGCTTCCTCACACAATGAACACAACCTCAGAGGACAACAGAAAAGATCTCTGTTTGTCTCCACCAACATGTTATATCACATCACTTCTGAGAAAGCGTGTTCCGAGATTCTGTACACGGCTTTACTTGTGTTCCATGTTCTCTTGTTTGGGGTTAGGGGCACTGGGAAAAGACTGAGAAAAAAAAAAGTATTTCACAACAAAAGCATTAGGGTATGGCGGCCCACTGTGCAGCTGTGTGGATCTAAAACCAGATAATTTTGTGTGTTTACATGCCTAAGAGAAATCTGAGCTTCAGTGTTTGGATTTGATTAGATTTTAGAGTAAATGTTGCGTTTGGAAGACAATGCTCAATGAATGTTAAAATAACTCCTTCAATCTTCAACCATTTTCTCTTTCATTTTTGTTTTTGCCGCATTAGTTTGCTCTTTTTTGCACTATAAGTCACACTTTTTTCATGGTTTGGGTGTTTCCACCTTTAGATAACTAGATAAATGATGCGATAAGTGATGTGAAGTTATTTGCTCTCTGTGGTAAGTTTCACTTTCACTTGCCTGGTTGTTTCTAACCTCGTGCAGTTGAATGCCTCTCCATGTCTGTGCCTCATGTAAATTGAACTGTGCTGTGACATGCATCAGGTATCTACGGAAGCCGAGAGGGGTCACAACAAATGCAAACGCCGCAACACATACAAATGCGACAACACAACAAAAAGCCACAACCAACCAAAAAAAGCCACAACGAAAGTGACCGCGGGACTCTATTTTAATGCAAACGCCGCAACAAATACTAAATGCCACAACACAAATGCAAATGCTGCAACACATCAAAAAGCCACAACACATCAAAAAGCCACAACACATCAAAAAGCCACAACACATTAAAAAGCCACAACACATTAAAAATGGAAACAATAAAAAGACACAAATGGAAGCGGGACTCTATTTTCCGATGGACCGATCAAGCGGCAAGTGAAGAAGAAGAACTACAACGTGAAAAGTAAAGGAACGGAGAAGTTGGAAACGTAAGTTAAAGTAATTTATTGTTTTATCATTATTCGTTTCATTTTGTAGTTCTTCTTCTTCACTTGCTGCTTGATCAGTCCGTCGGAAAATAGAGTCCCGCGGTCACTTCCGTTGTGGCTTTTTAATGTGTTGTGTCGTTTGTATTTGTTGCAGCGTTTGCATTAAAATAGAGTCCTGCGGTCATTTCTGTTGTGGCTTTTTTTGGTGTGTTGTGGCTTTTTGTTGTGTTGTCGCATTTGTATTTATTGCAGCGTTTGCGTTTGTTGTGACCCCTCTCGGCTTCCGTAGGTAACAGAGTACATGTTGGCTTCTCCAGATGTGTTAACGACTCCTCAATCATAGTTCCCAGTTTATATACATTTTGAAAAGTCTGTTTAAATTGGACTAGGCCAGTTATCTTGTTTTCCTGGCCTGTGTGTAAACCCATCGACCTTTTAATAATCTGATAACTCCAGATAACAGATAATAATCAGATTTGTAGTGTGCATGTAAATGTAAATGTCAGGGATATCCACCAACTACATCATATCAAAACTGAACTGCTGCTCTAAAGCACAGATTGTATTCTAACTAGACAATAATAAATCCACTTAAAGCCGGTTCTCTTGTTTGAGTGAGGATTCCCAGAAGGAGGGAGCATGAGTTTCACAGGCGACTGATCTGAGGAGAGTGTCCTTGGGGAGGGCCTTGGACTTCAGACACAGTGTTGTAGTAGTGCTTTTATCACCTCTGTACAGACACAGTATAGTAGTAGTAATTTTATCACCTCTGTACACACATTGTGGTCTCTAACTCTGACTTACATTTGTGGTAAAGGTGATGTGATTATTTGTAGGTGCATCTACAAATGGGCCCCGGTCAAGCAGAAGTAAACAGCAAGGCCAGAAATTCAAGTTAATGCATCTGATATAAAAATGTATTCAACAGATACATATGTACTCTAGTTTATGAAACTGTTGACCTTTTTTCTGTACCATTTTTGGTTCTAAAGTTCCATATGTTTTAAACAGACCATGTATGAAACATGGAACAAAAATTATTTCTCAAATTTCAAAGACCTGCAAATCATGTCAATAAATGGATGTATTTCATCATATCTTGTGTTATTCCATCTTTGAACTGTTGATGAAGGTACATGATTTTTCCCCAAATATTTAAAATGATAAAAAATTTAGCTTGGAAGGACTGACATATTTTATAGAAATAGTTTCCTTTCATTTTGAAGTAATATTAAAGTATTCAAAAGAAAAAAGCGACAAATGATGTAAAATCCTGCACCTTCTACTTGTTTGCACAATTTTCCCTCCGTTACTTTTCCCTCCGTTACCATGACCTTTCTTAATAAAAAATCTCATGAGTCAAAAAGTAAGAGGTTTTTCAACCTAATCTTGTACCATATGGTAGAAAACTATATGAAGCAAATATTCAAACCAGTTTGTTAAGGATATGTAAGTGAGAACCAAGAGTTATCACTGTTTGGATTTATTGCCCAAAAAGTGCTGCATATTTCATTTCCTCCGTTACTGACATGAGTTTTTAAAATTTTTTGTCAACAACTTGAAAGAATATCACAGGTTTAACTTGACCCTGTTGGAGTGTAACTCTTTCCTACATTCTGATACTTTACTTATTTCAATAGTCCCTCTAGTTTCTGAATAAGAGACATTTGAATGTCAAAAATCTGCCTGTTTCCCTCCGTTACCACTTGACTGGACCCACATGTCTCTGATCTGGCCAAGATTTGAAAACTTATCAGGTTATTCATCTTGTTTTCAGATGTATTTTTGACTTACTAGTTATGATACTGCTTTGTTCTAGTTTAGAGCTATTTTAGCTGGGTGCTACAGGTGTGGTAACTGTGCAGTATTTTCCAAGAGCACCTGAATAAAAGCTGCATCAACTAAATTTTTTACAAAATTTTAGAATTGTACATATATCGGCCGCACATGAAAATAAGCCGCAGGTGTCCACGTCTTCAAGAATGTTTTCAAGTTCGGGCTGTCTGCTTTTATCGCCTCTGAAAGCTTTTGTTGTCTTTTTGCACCGAGTCAGTCACCAACGTCTCACCATCGACTCACTGAAGCTTTTCTTCTCGTCATTTACACAGACGGGTAAGACGTATCCCCCCAACTAATGTTCATTTAGCAGCATAACTTATTTCATCACACAGCAATAAACTATTTGAGTGCGCTGACAATATCGCAAGCTCGTGTCGCAACTTCATGTGAACTCTAGATCCATGTGTAACTGTATCCGCTGTGTTGAGAAACCACCGACCATATATTTATATGTATGGACAAAGACCAAACAAAGAATCCGTCCACATATTCGAAGCATCGTTTTATTTGCCGCAGGGTTCAAAGTGTGAGAAAATACTAATCGTTTTATAGGCTGGAATTGTGGATTTTTTTTGTACGTACAACAGACTAACTCTTTCATGGACATTACATCAGGATAAAGTTTTGATATTAGGACATTCATTCAGTGTAACACCACTTACATGTTATACCGACTCAAACGCCCATGCGGTTCTTTTTACATCAGCCGAACAAAACGCAAACTGAAAAACAGGCCATGTGTTACAAAGACGATGACCATGGCAGCTGTAAAAAACAAAAATCTGTGCAATTGAACATATTAAAGAAACAATAAGAGGAGGAGATAGACTGAAAAAACTATTAGCTCCACTCTCAAGGCCACCCAGTTTCCAGGACTCAGTGGAGAGTTTTAAATGTGCAATCTATTCCTATTTTGAACATCTTTGTCTCCATGAAACTAAGATTAGACCTCTAATATATTGTACAAATTAAACATGTTTTATCTGTAGCACTTTTGTATTTTTTTGCACTATATATATTTTTATACTATGTATTTTTTCTATGTATTGGTTGCTGGAAATTGTACCATTTATATCTTGTAGTTTTAATAGCTTGTCACTAAAATGTGTTCAGCCTACATATCCCATCATGCACCAGGGGACTGTGTGCCAGCCCATTTTGAACATGTGACCTACACCTCTAACTTTTACCCTGCGTTCAATTCTCTTCCGACACTCACTTGCACCTCAGATTTGACATCACGTCCGAGTTTGAAACTTATTATTCTGTTTTATGTGTCGGACTACGTGGATTATGATTATAACTAATGTTTGAACTTTGCACTTCATTTTATGTTATGATTTCTCTTCTGTTACAACCTTATGGACTTTAACGCTCATTAAATCAAATATTTGTCCAATTTTGGCCTCACCACAACACGACTCCCAAACCCACAGGCAGAGATACGGACGCTGTGAAGTACTGCAGTGATACGAGTAACTGAAATTGTCACTGAAACCTCCAAAGTGTCCAAACACAATGAAAACAATTCACATTTACGTCACAGTGATCGTAGCCATCTTGGATTCTGACTCAGAATCGTTGCTCGCTCTACTTTTTCCACCACCGAGGTCCAAGTCCCAGGAAAATTGCCATGTCACGAGTGTTGCTAGGCAACTTCAGAAGGATAATCCAACGCAGGGTAAATCTGCACTGTGACAACCATCTCGAGTTTGCACTGATGAAGGCCAAAGGACCGAAACGCGTTGGCGTGATTTTATCTGCCATGTGCTATTCAAGGCTTTTCATTATTTTGTACTTTTGTGAGTGCCTCAGCTTTTCAATTTTGTATTAGAGGTCGTTTATTTTAAGAAAACTTGTCAGGTAAAATGTTCTTGCTGCATGGACAGATGATTTCACTCCTTTTAAGTCATTTTCTGATAGATTTAAGTGTTTATATCTTACATTTTGGCCCAGCTTTTTTGCAGTGTGTAGATCTAGTGTGTTTAACATGTTGTCAGTGACCTCCACACACAGCTCCCTGTCACTGCTTCTTCTGTCTTTGGATTTTAGGACGACTTTGCAAAAACCTTATATGGATTTACATCACAGTGGACATAGGTACTCACCCTCCAGAGGCGTCTCCGGGGTGAAGGGGGCGTCCGGGGAGGAGAGGCTGCCCGTGGAGGTGCCCAGCAGGTCGGGGAGCGAGGAGGACACGGTCACTACAGACGGCCTTTTCCTCCACTTCAACACCGAGGGAAACTCATCCACCACAGGGAACTCGTCTGCAGCTGGGAACTCGTCCTGGACAAACACAACAACAGAGAGATGAAAATGTGAAAGGTCGCACTTAGGAAAGGTTAATGCTGCAATATTTCTATGGATATGTCTGGAATGTTTCACAGTGTGACATTAAACAGCTCTACCTTACATTTATTCAATTACAGGAGGATTTATAGCTCAAAAATACTTAGAAAAACAGACATTCTGACTGTGAGTGGGGTCGCCTCTCCACAGACTTGGCCTGTAACTTGGTCTGGTTTGGTCTCCATGGAGATAGACAGTGTTGGGAGTAGACACCCTTGCAGATACCCTGTTCCACGGGCTCAGGGTGATCCTAGATTCCAAGTTCTAGTCCAAGATTAGTCCTGGTTTGGACCTGGTTCAGTTCTGGTTTACACCTGGTTTACACCTGGTTTAGACCTAGTTTAGTTCTGGTTCAGCTCTGGTTTAGACCTGGTTTAGTCCTGGTTTAGTCCTCGGTTCAGTTCTGGTTTAGACCTGGTTCAGACCTGGTTTAGTCCTGGTTTAGACCTAGTTTAGTTCTGGTTTAGTCCTTGTTTAGCCCTCGTTCAGTCCTGGTTTAGTTCTGGTTTAGACCTGGTTTAGTCCTGGTTCAGCTCTGGTTTAGTTCTGGTTTAGTCCTGGTTAAGTCCGGGTTTAGGTCTGGTTTAGTTCTTGTTTAGCCCTCGTTCAGTCCTGGTTTAGTTCTGGTTTAGACCTGGTTTAGTCCTGGTTCAGCTCTGGTTTAGTTCTGGTTTAGTCCTGGTTAAGTCCGGGTTTAGGTCTGGTTTAGTTCTTGTTTAGCCCTCGTTCAGTCCTGGTTTAGTTCTGGTTTAGACCTGGTTTAGTCCTGGTTTAGACCTGGTTCAGTTCTGGTTTAGACCTGGTTCAGCTCTGGTTCTGGTTCAGTTCTGGTTTAGACCTGGTTCAGCTCTGGTTTAGACCTGGTTCAGTTCTGGTTTAGACCTGGTTCAGCTCTGGTTTAGACCTGGTTCAGCTCTGGTTTAGACCTGGTTCAGCTCTGGTTTAGACCTGGTTCAGTTCTGGTTTAGACCTGGTTCACCTCTGGTTTAGACCTGGTTCAGCTCTGGTTTAGACCTGGTTCAGCTCTGGTTTAGACTGGTTCTCTGGTTTAGACCTGGTTCAGCTCTGGTTTAGACCTGGTTCAGCTCTGGTTTAGACCTGGTTCAGTTCTGGTTTAGACCTGGTTCAGCTCTGGTTTAGACCTGGTTCAGCTCTGGTTTAGACCTGGTTCAGTTCTGGTTTAGACCTGGTTCAGTTCTGGTTTAGACCTGGTTCAGCTCTGGTTTAGACCTGGTTCAGCTCTGTTAGACCTGGTTCAGTTCTGGTTTAGACTGGTTCAGCTCTGGTTTCTGGTTCAGCTCTGGTTTAGACCTGGTTCAGTTCTGGTTTAGACCTGGTTCAGCTCTGGTTTAGACCTGGTTCAGCTCTGGTTTAGACTGGTTCAGCTCTGGTTTAGACCTGGTTCAGTTCTGGTTTAGACCTGGTTCAGCTCTGATTTAGACCTGGTTCAGTTCTGGTTTAGACCTGGTTCAGCTCTGATTTAGACCTGGTTCAGTTCTGGTTTAGACTTGGTTCAGCTCTGGTTTAGACCTGGTTCAGTTCTGGTTTAGACCTGGTTCAGCTCTGGTTTAGACCTGGTTCAGTTCTGGTTTAGACTTGGTTCAGCTCTGGTTTAGACCTGGTTCAGTGCTCCTGGTTCAATCCTCGGTTCAGTCCTGGTTTAGTCCTGGTTGAGATTTTGACCCACAAACTGAAGTACAAAAACTTTTCCTTGTTATACAGACTCTGACCTTTTTGCCTTGTACATTATTTTTACCATCAGTCAGTTTTTTGTGGTCAGATTGTGTTCAAATAAAGCTCAAACTAAAGTCTAACAAAGCCTCAGACAGTGTAGTACCTACGGTTAACATGCCACAGGGAATGGAGATGCCACGAGCTGCAAAGTATCAGTATAATATTTCTTAAAGCTCTCAAACGTTATATATACTGATATTACTCTGACTTACAAGAATTCGTAACAGACTGTGCACTGGACCGTGAACAGGCGCAGTATTGTGAGCTAAGTTTAGGCCGTGTTCTGTGCACACACTGTAATTATAGAAAGCAGCTCTGTGACAGGACTGACACTGTAAGAACACAGCTCTGATAACATCTCCTCCACAACCTTACACCAGACACAGAAAAAAGTCAAGTGTAAAAACTGAATCTCACAGAATCAATTTGAAGATTTTCTCAGGGTTTATATGAGTCCAATCTGTTCTAGAGTTAAAGGTTGTATGGAGGATTTTGTTTTAGTTTCAAATTGTCAGTGAAAGTTTAAAATACCATTACAGAAACACAGCAGCCTTGTAATTATGATGACCAAAAAAAAAAAAACAATAAAAATCTATCAACTGTGGACATAGTGAGGCCAGATAAACATCAGCCAATAAATAACGAGGCTCCCTCTTTATCTATTGGCTGTTAGGTTGTCAATCAAACTCCCTACGCGCGGGGATTACGTGGTTTATGCAGCGGTTCTTAGAGGCTTTTTCAAACTGTAGCTTCCTCACGTTTCGCACAAAGTCTGTCGCGACGGTGGATGAGAATCCACGACCAGTTCGTTGCCAAAGAAAGTCCATTTTTGAGGTCGCTGAAAGAAGAAGAGGAGCGGAAAAGGAGCGAAGCCAAACTGAGGTGATTCTTGGAGATTTCTTCCAGCGATGGAGCGACTGAAGCAGACGAAGGGTCTTAAAACTGAAAACACGTCGGTCGCTAAATTGTTTCTAGACAGGTCACTTCAACAGTAATTCTGAACGCGCTGGCTGTAAACAAGCGTGATTTCTAGAGTAAAGCGGCGGGAGGAGGTGTTTCTACTGAGGAGCTGTGGAGGAGGAAGGTGGTGTCACGCATGCACAACATTTGAAAAAGGACGGTCGCTGTATTTCTCTTCCCTTAAAAAATCCTCTATACAACCTTTAATGTAATGTTTTTTGGAAACGTTCATTAAGTAACAATGGACCAAAGTTTCTGTTTAACCCCAAAATCAAGAGTTTTGAGAGTAAACGGATAACACTTTGTAGAGTTATCCTGATTTAACTAAACAATGTACAGACGTGGGTTTTTTTTTGCATTAATTTAAGATGAAATGATGTACAGAACTGGTTCAAACTGGTCTTCTCTCACGGGAGTTTGAAGTGGTGGGTGGGAGGAGCCAAATTAACACTAGGGGAAGTTGAATTCACTTCAGCCATATCAATTCTCAACTTGAACCCCCATTTAACTTTCAGATAGTTAAAATAACACTTTTTGTATTGAAAACAACTCTGAAATATTTTAACCTGAAATTTTAAGGCTCCAGTTTTTGCTGTGCAGATGCAAGAATCAACTCATCTGCCGGTGTGAAGGTCTGAGCTCCACAGAGAGGGAAAGGGTGAGGAAGAGTGAAATGAGAGAGGCAGGGAGGGCAAAGAGAGAGAGGGAGAGTGAAAGACGATAGATGGATGGATAATATAACTCAAAGAAGGGGTATTATGCATAATCAACTTTTTGGAACTTTCTGCTATGTTGTAACCTTGTTCCCTCATCAAAAACATGCCTGTCCATTAGGTGTGTACAAAAATATCAAAATATCGATATATCGTATTGTTTAATGTGATGATACAGTATCAATATCGAAGGCTGCTGTATCAGTATATCACCAACAGTATTTTTTGGTGTATTTTGTAAAATTATTTTATTACAGTGCTACAGTTTTGACATTTTCACTGTTTTGATGATTAAAATGTTTGTGTTTCATATGAACTTTGCACAAGAAGTGGTTTAACAAACACTTTTAGTATCACAGTCACGATTTAGCCTTTATTTTTGTTGCACCATATCAAATCGATTTGAAATATATCGTATTGAATCGAAAGGGCATTGTATCGACATATGTATCATATTGTGGCATAAGTATCAAGATATGTATCGTATCGTGGCATAAGTATCGAGATATGTATCGTATTGTGGCATAAGTATCGAGATATGTATCGTATCGTGGCATAAATATCAAGATATGTATCTTATTGTGGCATAAGTATCAAGATATGTATCGTAGCCTAAATATCGAGATATGTATTGTATCGTGGCATAAGTATCGAGATATGTATCGTATCGTGGCATAAGTATCGAGATATGTATCGTATCGTGGCATAAGTATCGAGATACGTATTGTATTGTGGCCTAAGTATCAGGATATGTATCGTATCGTGGCCTATGTATTAAGGTATGTATCATCTCAGCAACTCCTTAATGATAACCAGCCCTACTGTCCATGCATGTTTGAGTAATCTAGTGATCTTTCCCAGGCCCTATTCAAACCCTCCTCACGGTGATATGTAAGATTCTGTGCAAGGCTCCGCCCACAAGCCTAAGTCACCCAATGCTCCCACACGACAATTCTCCAGAAATATACAAAAGCCTGATACTAAACAATTATGGATGGGTCAAGATCTCACGCCACAAGATCTCGTGAGACAAAATTGCCACTAGATCATGAACACATGAGAAAAATGATCTTGTGAGTGTTTACATTTGGATTGGACAAAATGGGGCTATGAGTTGGTGAGTTACAAAGACCATGTGAACACTTAATACCTAATGAAAATGATGATTTGAAATTAAACTTAATTCCGAAGTAAGTGGGTGGTTAATTCTGATTTTAAATCCGAATTATTTTATTTCTGGATCATGTAAACGTTTATTCTTCTTAAAAATATTTCCGGTTGTTCAGCACATGCTCGTTGCTTCGGACACGATCTGGATGATCCGGCTCCACCAGTCCTGGCTTCGGACTTTCATCCACGTCTCTTTGGATGTGTGAGCGGGATGTGGGAGTGGGCTGAGGTAGAACAGCCTCACACTCACTTTGTCTTCTTCCTCCTTCTCCGACACTCTTCCCTTCTCCTCCTCAGCTGACAGACGTAAAGTGTGATAAAAGAATTCTCCAACTGCTGCTTAAACTTCACTGGATCATGTTTGTGTCCGTGGAATAAAGACAAACGGAGATGACAAAAAAGTCGGTAGCAACTGAAGTGTGTGTCGACGTAAATACGTTGGTGTCTCTGTCCAATCAGAATGCTTCCCGACACCCAGATGTTGAGTGGAATAAATAAAGGAGATTTAACGTGTTTTCCATGTAAACCTCAATTCGGAATTATTATTATAAGTACGAGCACATGCGTCCTGTGCTCAGGTCTCTGCTCTGGCTCCTGTGGCTCAGAGACTTTAAAGCAGCTCTGCTTGTACAAGTGTCTCCATGACCGAGCACCAAAGTCCATCTGTGACATGTTAGTGTCATATGAACCATCTCACACTCTGAGGAGCTCAGGGACCAACTCCTGCTGGTGCCCAGAGTCACGACTAAACAAGGGGAGTCAGAGTTTCAGGTTCATGCAGCTAAAACCTGGAACAGTCTGAACATGTGAGACAGACTCTTCTGTGACGCTGTTTAAATCCAGACTCAAAACATTTCTGTTTAACTGTGCAAATAACTGAAAGGTTTTCATTCCGCACTCTTCTCTCCAATTTATTTCCCTCTTTTTTAATTTTAATCTTCATGATTATTTATGTTTTGATTTGTTTTGATTATGATTTTAATGTATTTCTTATTCTGTAAAGCACTTTGAATTACTTTGTGTATGAATTGTGCTGTACAAATAAACTTGCCTTGCCTATTTCCATGTACACTCAAACGAGAATACTTTAATTCCGAACTACTTAATTTAGAATAATTCATTTGGAATTAAAAAACATAATGTAAACGTGGACAATAAAGTTCTACCATAAAAAGTTAAGACACTGAACAAAGAGAAGACAATAGAAGACAGAGAGAGAGAACAGACTGACCAGGGACAGGGCCGGCTCCTCCATCAGCTGCTTCAGACTCAGGCTCTTCCCATTCACCTGCTCACACAAACACAACATTTACAACATGCACTTTTACATGACAAATACAAAAATACTACATAGCCAGAGCTTTTTACAATAACTTTCCATATGTTGCTGCTTAATATGAACCAAAACTGTGCAAAAATGTACTTTGTGTGTTTCTGAGTTGGCATATTTTGCCTTAGTATACATTTCTAAACAGAAAAAATATAAATAAATAGATAGAAATAAGCTATATGAGTGAGACAGACTTGGACAAAATAAGTCAAATTTCAAGTGCATATATTGGGATCTGGTTCAAACTATTATCGCTTGTAAATAATGTAAATAATGTTATAACTTTTGAGCATACTTTCTTGCCTTGACTTAAATTCTCCTGCTAATCAGTTCAAATAATAGAAATAATCACACCAAATAACAATACTCCTGATAGATTTGAGTGTAGAAGAGAGAGCAGACCTGTAGGTGCGTGCAGATCCTCCGGAGCACGTCGTACACACTGTCTCTGGAGAGCAGCGACACGAACACGTACTGAAACACAACGGGCAGCACGGGTTAAAGCTCACTGCACAACGGGCACCTGGTCTGGATTTGGACACAAAAAGTTTAATAAATATTTAACATAAAAGAAAAGAGTTGGGCTAAAATCTGGTTTTAAACTGCTCAAACATTGACAAAAGGGCAAAGGGCTTCAGCGCTTTTTTGAAATTTAGAATCAAAAAGTGAATTCAAATGTTCAAGAACTTTCACGTCAAATCTGAGACGAAACAGAGACTAAACTTGGGACTAAACCAGGACTAAACCAGGACTAAACCAGGACTAGAACAGGAATAAACCAGACTAAACCAGGACTAAACCAGGACTAAACCAGGAGACAGGTCTAAACCAGGACTAAACCAGGTCTAAACCAGGTCTAAACCAGGACTAAACCAGGACTAAACCAGGACTAAACCAGGACTAAACCAGGACTAAACCAGGACTAAACCAGGTCTAAACCAGGACTAAACCAGGTCTAAACCAGGACTAAACCAGGACTAAACCAGGACTAAACCAGGTCTAAACCAGGACTAAACCAGGACTAAACCAGGTCTAAACCAGGACTAAAACAGACCAGGACTAAACCAGGACTAAACCAGGACTAAACCAGGACTAAACCAGGACTAAACCAGGACTAAACCAGGACTAACCAGGACTAAACCAGGACTAAACCAGGACTAAACCAGGTCTAAACCAGGACTAGACCAGGACTAGACCAGGACTAGACCAGGACTAAACCAGGACTAAACCAGAACTAAACCAGGACTAAACCAGGACTAAACCAGGACTAAACTAGGATTAAACCAGGACTAGAATAGGACCAAACTAGAACTGAATCAGGACTAGACCAGAACTAACTAGGACTAAACCAGGATTAAAACAGGACTAAACCAGGACTAACAAATACTAAAGCAAGACTAGACCAGGACCAAACCAAGTCCACATATCTCAAACCAGGACAAGAGTGATCAGTAATCCCACACTTGTGTCAATCTTGTACCTTTTGTACCTTATAAATAGAGTGTCAGGTCAACTACTTAAAGCTGCAATGCGTAACTTTTCGGGTGGAGGGTCTGCTACATGATGGTCTACAAGGAAATGCTGTTGCTTTGCTGTTCCTATCTCCATATGAACAAGTTGCAAATGGTTGATAAACTCCGCCGATATTTTTGGGTTAATATGCAAAGCAGATTTTCATTATTTCCCTCAAACTATGCAATTTAAAATTAATACAAACTCATCTCTATCTCTTTTTTACCACAAATCTTTGAGAAGTTGTGCAGTTTTCTTTTCGTAGTGTTAATATAAAACTTTGTGTGTATTTTTTCGACAAAAATATACACAAAAAATCGGCCTGTGCTGGAGATTAAAAGCCGATAGTCGCTAGAGTCCCACCATTCCTATCCTAAAAAACACAAGCTATTTAAATAGTAAATAGTAAAAGTATTTCTCGCAGATTTTGAGATCTAATAAAACTTCAAATGTAGTGATTTTGATACAGATTTGTGCTGAATTTTGTTCAAGAGATCAATTCTTTTGCTTTTGCAGTTTTTATCTGTATATTTTTGTTTGCAAAAATGACAGACCTTTTAAAAATAAACACTTCAAGCTTCTCAGCAGTTCCCAAACTATAATAAAAAATAATTTTACTTTTCAGTCCTGTTCAAAATGTAGTGGAGTAGAAAGTACAAATATCTGCTCTCAAATCTAGCGAAGTAAAAGTAAAAAGTACCTATTATAAATGACCTAAATAATAAATACCTTTACTTTCTTACATTCCACCACTGCCTCTAATATAAAAAACATTTGCATCCATGAGCAGATCCAGATGCTGCTGTAATAATATGGATTCATGACATGAGCGAGCAGATATACTAGTACTATATCATTAAAAAGTACAAAGTATTTTATGGCTCTCAGCTCCCAAAGGCTTTGACGTTGTGAGCACACACTTCCTCCATATAAAGAGTTATGTGCAACTTAGTAATGTTTAACTTCTTAAATCATTTATTCGCTTTTTAACACATCGCAAATCCCTCAGAACACTGGTTTATGAGGTACTGAGCCTGAACTATGTCCCACACAGTGTAATATTACAGAAGTACTAGTACAATGTGACGGGAATAAAGTTAAATGTGACGTTACTTCCAGGTCCATCAGACATTTTTACAATATCCTCTTTTTTTTTTTTTTTTTTAAGCAACAAGTCATTTACAGTCTTTATTTAACACTTCTACTTAATGACATAATTTAATGATAATTTAATGAGATACACACTGGTAATACTTTGTTGTTCTAGATTATTACTACATGATTTATATATTTGATACAGTTTGTGGTTTAACACTTTTGAAAGGTAAACTGTTTCTTGTTTGATGAGTAAGGAACAAAAACAAAGTTAGAAATCAGCTGTGAAGTTTTTGGATGGACCCAGAAGTTGCATCATCATCACTCCACAAATCTACTGATACTCTGATACTTGTACAGCTCATTCATTTTGCCTTGGGAATACACTCAAGGCAAAATGCTCAGTAGTTACTATGGAGACACAATGCACACAATAGCAAGCACTGCCAAAATAGTCTGAAAAATTCAAGAAAAAATACAAAATGGATTTAAACAGCACATTTTCAGGAGCCTGTGTTTAATATGAGTGTTCATGGCCCAGCTCATCTGTCGTAGTTTCAACTAAACGCCAAATTATAGTTCTGTGTTGACTCAACGCACAATTTTTGCGCCACGAAGTAATTCACCGCCACAACGCTAGGAGGCTAGGATTTAAACCTGGCATTTGTGTATACAAAATGAAGCGGGAAAGTGGAGTACCGTAAATGTATGTCGAGTGGATGTAGAGAGGACCAATCACAGCACGTATTGTCTGCGTGAGTCTGTCCTGTTGTCTGCATCGTTTCAAATGTGGTTAATATGATTAAGTGAGATTCAGGAGCAGGACCACGCCTCAGCCGCCCTCTCCTCTCACCAGCGAACCACAACTCACCTCGACCACGCCTCGAATTTCCCAGAAGCCTATAGGCGAGTTTCAACTGACATCATTGTTATTAAAAGCCCGCGTTGCATGCTGGGAAATATTTTGGTCGGAGGCAAGAAACAGGATAGCGTCAAACACAGTGCGTAACCTCGCGTATTTATCCCCGATAATGGTAAATTCCTGCTGCATTATCAGATGCACAAATAGAAGCACGGAAGAAGGAAAATGTCTTTTTCGTATTCTGAGTGAAAAGAACCACTAACGGTGAATTAAACGGCTTTCAAACATTCGCAGAGCAAACGTAGAAGATCCTAACAAACCGTGGACTCCAACAAGTTCAACAACACATCGAGACTCTTGGAGGTTTTCATCTTTTCTGCTGTGAATGGCCCAGGAGTTTCCACCAAGTCATTGTGGATATCACCCAAGTGAATATTTGTCCAGGTAGTTGGAGATTCTGACCAGAAAGTTTGGTTTGGTCCAGGCTCTGTCGGGGTTGAAAAGGGTGATTTGGCTTCATCGATGCTTATGACCAATTTCTGGTCAAATGGTCTTGGGTCCTCTGCCGTTAGAGTGGATAAATAACCGGGATCAATACCCTTTACGTGCTTTCTCGCTCCGTCCGTCATGTTGAATTAGTATTTCTTGCCGCCGACCAAAATAATTCCCAGCATGCAACGCGCGCTTTTGTCAACAATGAAACTCGCCTATATGTAGCAGCCTTTCCCATCATCCCAGTTTGTCTCGGCTCACTCGATCCCACCCTGCCATCCCCTATTTTGTCTACAAGAGAGGTCCCGTTCCAGCTGGGCCAATTGTAGATTGAGACGGAGCCCCCACCCATAGTCTCAACCCAACCATCTCTGCCTCACTTCGTACATTATCAATAAACTTCTTCGCACTATGTTGTTGTCGGTGTGGTTCTAGCTAGTGAATGTGTAGTTAGAACAATTCAGAGGTGCACGTTGGTCAACAAACTCTCTGCCTCATGACACAGATGGCACAAACATAAATTGGGCTTAAGTCAGTTCTTTCTAGTCACATTGTGTTAAAACTAGGGATGGGCATTCGATGAAATTTTCTTAATCGATCGTCGGGAGAATTAACGATCGATTATCGATTATCCAATCCAATCCAATCCACTTTATTTCTATAGCACATTTCACAAACAAACTGTTCCCAAAGTGCTGCACAAACACATAAAAAATAACAACAATAAGATGATAAAGTAAACTACTAAAATAATACTAGTCTTAAAGTAATAAAACCAGTAAAATAAAATAAAAACAGTAAAATAAAAATAAAACTATATCATAGAATAGAAATAAATAAACCAATAAATAAATTAAATCAGTAAATCCAATAAAAACACATAAAAATAAATAAAAGACACAGAGGACCACACAACTCACGCGGTGTTAAAAGCCAGAGAATAAAAGTGGGTCTTCAGACGAGATTTAAAACTCTCCACTGTGGGATTAATCATTAATGTTTTTATATTAAAATGATCATCATTATTATTACTATCTGCACTAATCTGCATAAATAAATTCAACTTTACAACATATAAACCGTAACCACTCTAGAGCCACATCAATCCGTTTGACATTATAATGTGTTTAATTCAGTTTTGCGCAACTCTCACAGAAACAAAACTTAAAACCACATCACTAATTTGCATAAACTCAGCGAAGATAAAACTACAGATCTTGTGTCGCTGATGCGGTTCAATTTCTGTCGGATTAAAAGACATGACTCAGGTGAATACAGGTTAGTGTGACCAGATTTGCGTTTGTCAAAACCAGGACAGCGTACGGGGGGAGGGAGGTGGGGACTCGTCATCCACATTGCGCGACTCTCACCTGGTAAAACTTTTTCCCACTGGACACAGAAACATATGTGCTGCTTTATACACTGTGCACATGGACTCACACTTGTCCTGAACGCAATGGAGAGCATGGAATTTTTTGTACAAATCATCGTTAAATATACATTTGTGCTTTGGTACGTTGCAGACTGACCCACTGTTTGTGTCTCGCTCCTTCTGATGCAGAGACACATGTACACACCTGTTTGGTCACACTACACACAACAACCTACATTTGGTTTGTCGATTAAAATTAACGTAATTGATGAAATTCTTAATGATCAATTATGGATTAATCGATTAATCATGCCCATCCCTAGTTCAAACAAAGCTCAGATTAAAGTCCCACTTGATTAACAGAGCTTCAGACAAAGCAGAGCCTCCAGTTAGCATCACACCTCCAGAGAATATTGAGGACATGAGTTGTAAAGTATTTCTTGTACTGTATGAACACTGCATAGTCTTAGCAAGGACGCCTCCAGTTCATTGTTACATTTCTCTGTCGTTTGGCCTCATCCAACTTTTATCATTTATCAAACATTCTCAGTTTTCTTGGTCACCTCGTCTCACAGAACTGCTCTGCTGTGCTCTTCTCATTTTATCTCGACCACTTTGTCTCCAAGCTGTCCTTCTTAATCCCTATTTAAAACTTCCTGTGTGGAGGCAGAGTCAGGCTTGAATAGCCAATACTTGAATAATAATAATGCTTGAAAATGATCACTTTTGCTTACAATTTGTCAATAGGACAGAAATTTTTTTGTCTTTTGGTGTATGTTGGGGGTGATATTTGACAGTAGAAAGGCAGCAAAATATTTTTCTGCTAGTTTCCCCCATGTGTCAGGATGCACCATGTCAAATTTGAGGGTTATTTGACCATGTATGCAGTTACAGTACCTTAATATTTACAGTTACATCATTTTGCAAATAGCTTTTCTTAAAAACAGTGTTTTTTCAGCCCTGAGACCAAACGGGGCCAAGTTGAGGTTGGTCCCTATCAACTCGTGATGGCCCAAGATATAAGAGAACAGGAAATAATTGTGAAAAAAAGGTAGCAAAAAACATCCTGAGGGGTGGACCTGTCTCCCGGCCTCTACGTGCAGTGTGGAGTATTCAAACTGACCGGGTCCTGGACTGATGGTAAATAAACTCCTCCTGCCTCAGACTCCACATTCTCTTCCCTCTGTAACACTCTAGGATTCATTTTTCCTAACACCGTAGACTGTAGACTGTACACCCCCATAAGAGTTACACGGTGTAATATCTGTGATCTCTGACACACCTACACTATATGAACTACAGGTCAGACAAACAATATACTATAAAACTCGAGGACATGTTGGCTTGAAATGCCCTTTTAAAGTGCCCTGCTCCTGTGCCCACCTTCTGCCCCGTGTCCGTGGTGATGGCCAGGCCGTTGGGCACCAGGCCTGCTGTCCGGTGCTTCTTCACCAGCCTCACAGACACCACCGGGATGGCCACCTGCAGCACACAGTACAAGAGTCATGTGGTGGACTAAGAGATTCAGGTGTTTTACAAAAATAGCACAGACTTAAAAAAGGGTTAGGGGGAAATATTATTTATAATGGTCAAAATAAAGCGAGTCTTACTTAATCAAAGTAAAAAAGTAGTCACATATTTTATTTAAAGGAGACATATTATGCAAAATCAACTTCAGCCGTGAGTTGTTTCCCATGTTCTAATGGTTTAATGTTCTAATGGTCTTGTTCATCATTAGTTTACGAGTGATTCATTCTGTATGTACAAAGTGTTTTTTTCTTTTACTACCTCCTAGACAAGTCCACAGCTCTGTAATTATACAACAAAAGGGTGGAGGAGGGTTAAAATTTCAGGGTGAAATATTTTGAGTTGTTTTTAACACAAAAAGTGTTATTTTAACTATTTGAAAGTGAAATGGGAGTTCAAGTTGATGTTATTTGCCAGAGTTGATATGGTTGAAGTTAATTTAGCTTCCCCTAGTGTTAATTCAACTTCCCTTAGTGTTAATTTGGCACCTCCCACCCACCACTTCAAAGTCCTGAAAGAGAAGACCAGTTTGAACCAGTTTTGTTCATAATTTCATTTTAAATTAACTAAAATAAAGTGTAAAAATAAAACACCTCTGTGTGTTGTTTAGCTAAATCAGGATAACTCTACAAAGTGTGAACCATTTACTCTGAAAATGTGAATACAACTCTTGATTTCGGAGTTAAACAGGAACTTTGGTCCTGTGTTACTTAACATTTCAAAAAAAAAAAAAAAAGTTAAATTAACTCTAGAACAAATTGGACTCATATAAACCCTGAGAAAATGTTAAACTTGATTCTGTGAGAGTCAATTTTAACACTCCAATTTTGCTGTGAACTTGCAACCATTTGAGGAAAAAAAAAACACTAAGCCAAATAAATAAATAAATAAATAAACTATAAGATGGATGTCCAGCAGCATAAAATCAGTTCTGATGTTTTGAACAAGTCAGTAAACCTGTTTCTATTATTAAGGCAATAAAATTCACATAAAATGCCTTCTATTACTCCCAATTCTGCATTATATATTCTGCATTATATAAAGACATATTTCCTCCAAAAGTGACTCAAGGAAAAGTATTTGCTGTGCAGTTGGAGCACAGGACAATGACAGTGACAAAGCCCGTCAGAGGAGGAGGCTGTCTTGTATTTCAGTGAATGTGAGGAATGCTGTTGGAATAAGCAGCTTTTTGTCACTCGGGCCTCAGGAGGACACAGTGGAAATGTCAGCTCCATAACGCAGCGCCTCACACTGGCATCGCTGTGAGACGTACGTGCGCTGTAAGACTATCACAGCGCTCAACAATGGGGAGTTTGTGAGGCGTTTTACTGGTAACGTAAGGAGCGAGCCCGGGTCGTGTCTCCGCTCAGATGGAGATGGAGGAGCCGCTGGGCGAACGGTCGGTGGGTCAGATGTACCTTGATGTCTTTGCCGAAGAGGTTAGCGTAGAAACAGAGCCAGTGTCTGGAGATGTAGAGGCGTCCCTGTAGGAGGATGTCTCTGAGCAGGGCACATGAGTACACTGAGGGTTCACAAGAGAAAACCAGAGTTAAGAATGTAACTACAGTTTTATGAATCCAGAGTGATCCGTGTATCATTCGTTCATTCGTTTTTCAATATAAAGCCAAAAGTAAGAAAACAAAAAAACAACTGATTTCTTCATTATTTGTCTCCAAAACCAAAATGAAAAAACAGATAATGATTCGTTTTTTCAGTTTTTGATTTTGTGTTTAAATGAAGAATGGAAAAAAACGGATAACGGCCGTTTCTCGTTTACGTGACTTCCGTGACTGCGATGTTGGACTTTTGCACCGCATACGGACTGAACCAGGACTGATCCAGGTCCGGGACCAGACCGGGACCGGGACCAGACCAGGACCAGACCGAGACTGAGACCGGGACTGAGACTGAGACCAGGCTCGGACCCCGCGGAGGCTCAGAGTCAAAGTTCGGAGTTCGCTATGGTCCCACTTTGGTCCCAGGCTCAGTCTCAATCTGGTCCTGCTCTGGTCCCGGTCTGGTCCTGGACCTGGATCAGGACCTGGATCAGTCCTGTTTCAGTCTATAAAGTCTGGCATCATAGTCACAGAAGTCACGTCAACGAGAAATGTTATCCATTTTTTCCATTGTTCATTTAAACACAAAATCGAAAACTGAAAAACTATTCATTGTCCGTTTTTACTATTGACATTGTTTTTATTAATGCCACACATGGTTTGATTTCGGCGTTCTAACCCAAACTCTATTACTGTAATAAATCAGTTATTGCATGTGTGATATTATTGGTGTTATGAGTATTATTGTCTATCAGTTTTAAATCTCCAGCAGGCCTGTATTTTGTTTTGGCTGACCTGCTGTGTAAAGATCACGCACAAAGCTTTATTTGATTATTTAAATGGGATGAGATCATTGCAAAAACAGAAAAAACAACTACACAGCTCTCTTAAAAAAGGAAAAAATGCCAGTCTGGTTTGTAGTAAACAAACAGCATCGGCCATGCAAAAAACATATAGTCTGATCTAAAGTCATGTACAGATCTTTGCAGTAGTGATGTGTTAGACCTGCTATCCCATTCATTTGAATAGAACACCAAAATAGAAACATGAATTTTCACATTTGTAGGCAAATGCTTGTTGTTTTACTAATGTTTGGAAGCTAACGCTAGTGTAGAACAGTACCTGGCTTTAGAATGTGGGTGTTCTGTTTAGAAAAACTGGATGAGTCTATTGAGAGGTACACTGATTGTCTTTTGATTCCATATAAACTGCCATTAGAGCCCGATGATGACAGTGGCCCACTGTATGTGCATGAGAGTACACCCATTTTCTGTGTTATCACTTTAAATGACTTTCTGACCCAGACCTGGGCTTTGTCCAGCTCTGGGGCCACATATTTGTTTGACTCTGACTGGCCTGTTTAAGATCATTTGGAATTACATAATAAACCTATTTTATAATTTTACCTCATGCATGGACTAAAGCTGCATTGCTTTTGTTTTAGAGGTGTGTTTTTTTTTAAGAAATACAATTAATATTATGCAAAATTAAGTTAAGCATTTTGGTCTGGCCCTCCACAATATTTTCTGTTTCTCATGTGGCCCCATGGAAAAAATAATTGCCCACCCCTGTTACTATTAAAATACATGTTTTTTCTTCCAAGTCTAAATTAATAATAATCATTTTCTTATTTCTGTAAAATTCAACCTTTTTCGAAAAAAAAAAAAAAAATGAACATGTGTCTCTTCTGCGATCTGACAGCTGTATTTCCAAAGAAAAAACAACTGACTGTTAAAAAGATATTCTCTAAGATGGGACAGTTATATAATTATTAAATCAACAATATAGACATGTGAAGTAATTTATTAGAATTTTCTGACATGGCAATTACAGTTGTGTATAGTGAATGTCCAGCAGGGTGACAGGAGGATTCACACCGCAGAGTTTGTTAAAATCTCTAAGATTCAAAGAGTTACACCAAAAATGATGTGATGTTTGGGAAAAGGCTTTTTAACTAAATTGTAGAGCTGAGTTGTTTTTGAAGATATTTTGGGGGATTTTCCTATAAAAGCGAGTCACACCAGAGTCCTGCACCGGGTACCTGTAAATAGTTGCTGAAACAGGTGGGTTTTAATGTTTTGGACTTTTACATTTGGGTATGTGGGTGAGTAGTGATTACAGACGAGTGGGTCAGGTGAATCAAATGAATGACGAAAAATACATGACGCGCATCCAGGACGTCCACTGCCCTGGAAACAAGAGACATTTCCCCGTCTTTCCCTGGAACGATGGATCAGGCTGAGAGAGACTTTAGTGTTTTTATTACATAAAACCATCAGCGGAGGAGATCCGACTCTACAGCTGAGCTCCTGGTTTAGTCCTGGTTTAGACCTGGTTTAGTCCTGGTGTAGTCCTGGTGTAGTCCTGGTGTAGTCCTGGTTTAGTCCTGGTTTAGTCCTGATGAAGTCCTGTTGAAGTCCTGATGTAGTCCTGGTTCAGTCCTGGTGTAGTCCTGGTTTAGTCCTGGTGTAGTCCTGGTGTAGTCCTGGTGTAGTCCTGGTTTAGTCCTGGTATAGTCCTGGTGTAGTCCTGGTGTAGTCCTGGTATAGTCCTGGTATAGTCCTGGTGTAGTCCTGGTATAGTCCTGGTGTAGTCCTGGTGTAGTCCTGATGCAGTCCTGGTGTAGTCCTGTTTAGTCCTGTAGTCCTGGTTTAGTCCTGGTATAGTCCTGGTATAGTCCTGGTTTAGTCCTAGTCCTGTGAAGTCCTGTGAAGTCCTGGTGTAGTCCTGGTAGTCTGGTGTAGTCCTGTTAGACCTGGTGTAGTCCTGGTGTAGTCCTGATGTAGTCCTGGTGTAGTCTGGTAGTCCTGGTATAGTCCTGGTGTAGTCCTGGTGTAGTCCTGTAAGTCCTGGTTAGTCCTGGTGTAGTCCTGGTGTAGTCCTGGTGTAGTCTGGTTTAGTCTGGTGTAGTCCTGGTGTTAGTCCTGTGTAGTCCTGGTGTAGTCCTGTAGTCCTGGTGTAGTCTGGTTTAGTCCTGTGTAGTCCTGGTAGTCCCTGGTATAGTCCTGTAGTCCTGGTATAGTCCTGGTATAGTCCTGGTGTAGTCCTGGTGTAGTCCTGGTGTAGTCCTGGTGTAGTCCTGGTGTAGTCCTGGTTTAGTCCTGGTTTAGTCCTGGTATAGTCCTGGTATAGTCCTGGTGTAGTCCTGGTAGTCCTGGGTCCTGGTAGTCCTGGTGTAGTCCTGGTGTAGTCCTGTGTAGTCCTGTTTAGTCCTGGTTAGTCCTGGTATAATCCTGGTGTAGTCCTGGTGTAGTCCTGGTGTAGTCCTGGTATAGTCCTGGTGTAGTCCTGGTGTAGTCCTGGTGTAGTCCTGGTTTAGTCCTGATGTAGTCCTGATGTAGTGGACTAAGCAGGTGCGGCGTGTATATATTTATAATCTGCTAATGACATGGTGTAGGTTCAATCCTGATTTAGTCCTGATTTAGACCTGGTTTAGTCCTGGTTTAGTCTTGATTTAGGCCTGGTTAATCCTGGTTTAGTTCTGGTTTAGTTCTGGATTATTGGGATGTCGGGCATGGGTGGATAACGGGTGGAATGTTAACAGGTTCGAGCGGATGTGGATTTAACTTTGATATAATCACGGGTTAACGGGCGGGTGTAGTGCTGTACTGTGTGGGTGTGGATGGGTACAGGTCTCCAAAAATGGACCCATGCAGGACTCTGTGTCACATTACAGGACAGAAAAAAGGCGTTACACCCCCAAACGTCAAGTACCATACATCCACATGTCCCTCCCGCTCTGTGTGCCCGCTCTCCGCCCTGTGTGCCCGCTCTCGCTCTGTGTGCCCGCTCTGTGTGCCCGCTCTGTGTGCCCGCTCTCCGCTCTGTGTGCCCGCTCTCCGTACCTTTCATGAGGATCTCGTCTGGGGGCACTCCGGGGAACAGCTTGTGGTACTGGGAGTTGTACTTGCTGACAGTCTGCGCAGAGGGACAGGGCAGAGTCATGAGCAGCTCCTTGGCGCCCCCGCCGGTGGCTCCGGCCCCCGCGGCTGCAGACACCAGAGAGCTGTGCACCAGGCTCAGCACGTTTGCTCCGTACATGCACACACACTCGCGCACGTCCAGGGCCTGAAGGAGGCTGCTGCAAGACACACACTGCCCCCTAGCCCTGTGAGTGCTGGTGAGCCCCGCCCGGCTACTCTAGGGGGCGCTACGGGAGCACTCTGCGGCTAACACAACAGCCACAATCTAGTCACTGTCTACTCTACGGCAACAGAGCAGCTTTCAGAAACAACTTAGGCAAGAAAACGTCGCCCACAGCGTTCAGCTCCAGTCAAATGAAGCTCATCGAGGCAAATTTGGAGCAGTGACCCTAACCCTAACAAACATAACAGCAAAATAAAACCACCAGGATCATGTTGAGCGGGTTAATACGAACCCCACACTCACTTCCTATTTCTTAGCGTTGGGAGACCAGAATTTTAAACTAAAAAACTGGGACATCCCCATTTTTTTGGTGGTTGGTAATAATAAAATTGTGATATGAGTCTGTAATTAAGGAAAATTGTTTTGCAGAGACCATTCATGACTAAAATGTGAGTCAGTATAGTCACATTTTCTTTGTGTTTTGGTCGTTTTTAAGCAGCTTTTCTGTATTTTACCAAAGCAAATGACAAAGTATGGCTCTCCTTATTGTTGGTACAGATCAAATTGGTCCAAAATAGGGACACCTGGGACATTTCTTGTATAAAACTGGGACAAATCTTTTATCTTTTTGGATAAATCGGTGGGGACAAGGGACACAGGGCTCCAAACTGGGACTGTCACAGGAAAATATTGAAGTCTGGTCACCGTATCTCTCTTTCCGCTCTTTCTTGCTGCTTTTTGAGTCTTTGCCCTAATCTCCTCTAGTCCATCTTCACCGCAGTAGCAGAACCACCATCCTCCTCAGGCTCTCCTTCACCTCCACCACTGACGTCTCTACGCTCTGGTGTCTAGAGTTTCAGCACCATCTTATCGAAAATCTATCTTTACATTTAAAAGCCGAGCGATCTCGTTTCTCGTGAAAAAAGCTTCAAATAACTGATCCAACTATCATAAAACAGCTTCTAACACTTACCTTTAGAATCTATTTTGCATTTAGTCATAGCGGCAGCAGCCTCAGTTTACTGTTAAACAAATCCAACTTTCCATAACAGCTCTTCCAAGCTTTTAAAAGTCTGATATTACGCAAACTGTGACTGTGGTGAACTTTAAAGGGACAGTTCAGAATTTTGGACATAGGGTCTCATTTTCTAGTGAGCCAGAGTGTTGGAGACGTGTGGAGACACTTTTAAAAATATTCCATCCAGTCCTTGTATTTGCAGAGGTCGCTGGCCATAGTTACCCTGCTGCTAAAAACGGTCTTACCTAGGGTGACCATGTTTGTCAAAACCAGGACACTGTAAGAGGGGTGGGAGGTGGGGCCTCGTCATCGACATTGAGCTACTCTCAACTGGCAAAACTTTTTCATGTTTTGTCCTGGTCCCTGGCACTGTCACTGGACACCGAAACATACGTGCCTGCTTTGTACACTGTGCACATGGTCTACTTGTCTCGATCAAGACAAAAAATGAGGAATTTCTTGTACAAGTCATCGTTAAATGCGCATTTGCGTTTCGGCACGTTGCAGATTGACCGACTGTTTGTGTCTGCTCGCTCTTTGAGTACAGAGAGCTAAGAGAGCTGCTCAATTTAATGGCCCAATGAAAGATCATGACTACCCGGACATTTACATCACTTTATAAAAAAAATAAAATAAAAAAAAACCCAGACGGCCAGGACAGGACGGGAAAAATGGGGAAAAACAGACGTTTGGTCACCCTAGTCTTACCCACTCCACAAAACACCCGAAGCAAATTTATTATTACACCAGACTGTCCATGTGAATGTCTGTGTCAATAGAATAATGTTTGAAATAAAACTAACCTTGCATCACATGAAGTGTCGCATGTTGAGAGACTATTTTCTCATATATCAGTTCACCACTACCAAACTTTCTATCAGGAAGCACAACTCGCCGCTGCTGCTCAGACAGAAATCCTTCAAATGCAAGGTTGGTTTTACTTCTAAAATGATTCAACATTTGATATTTCATGGTAATGTTTGATAATCTTTCAACTGTGGATGTTTCATTGTGTTTTAATCCATGTTTGAGTCAAAAGAATTTAATCCATGGTGTTTACATGTAATTTTTCTATATATATAAATTTTTATGCACAATGATAATGTAAAATCTTTAATGTATTCATAAGTTGGAGGTTTTAATATAAGCCCTATTGGGTTTTTTGCCTCTTCCAGCACCTACTTTTTATCTAGTGTGTTTCTTTTTATTGTCATGTTATATGTGCAAAATAAATAAATAAAAAATAAAACACAACACAGACATTCACATGGACAGTCTGGTGTAATAATAGATTTGTTTTGGGTGTTTTGTGGAGTGGGTAAGTGTTTTTAGTGGCAGGCTAACTATGGCCATTGACATGCACTAGCCTAGCACCAGTGCCCTCTGCAAATACAAGGACTGGATGGAATATTTCCAAAAGTGTCTCCACATGTCTTCAACACTCTGGCTCACTAAGAAAATAAGGCCCTATGTCCAAAATTCTGAACTGTCCCTTTTAGCCAAGTTAGAATGTTGTTACCTCCTCAAAGACAGAGCTGGAGTTGTGTTTTGTTTCATTGACACATGTTTGAGTCATCTTTTATTATGAATGTGTCTACATCCTTAAAGCTCAAAATGCTCTGTTCCACCTTGTGATGTCATGAAGCGGTAGTTTTCAAGTCAACAAATACCTTTTAACTTTTATTCAGCAGCGATTTGCAATTGTACAAATGATCCAAATGATTGACAGAAGAACTCACCTTAAATCTGCAGAGTTTGTGTGTTAAACATGCGTGAATGAAACAAAACACAACTCCAGGTCTGTTTGCGATGAGGAAACTACATTATAACACTGAAAATAGCGTAATATGAGCTCTTTAAACACAAAATTTTCCAACCAAAAGCTAATTTCACTTTCCTCAACTAACACAGTGTCTTTATCTAATATCCCTGCGCTTCCTCGACTAGCTTCGGTGACTGTTAATACTCTTAAACTTGGCTGGTGTGTGTCATTTTGCTTGTTGGCGCTCCGTCTCTCCTGGTCTCTTCTTAATATAGCCCGGTATTGTGCTTGAGCATACGGACTCACAGCGGGACAGTTCCGAACACCGGCGAGTGTGCCAGAAATGTGAAAATACAAAAAAAACCACGCGCTTTCTCTCCGTTTCTGTACAGTTTATGAAGCACTTTTAGGCTTTAAAATAAAGTGATGTTGAAGCAAAGATGAGATTAGACTTGCAGAATTCGCAGAAAGCAAAAGGGACATAGCGGAACACAAAACAAAAATAGTGGGAAAGCTAAAACACGAACAAGATTGTGTTTATCAAGCTATGCAAAGTTTAAAGTACCATATTATGCTTTTGTAAGGCTTTCTGAAAGGAGCACTGTGTAACTTTTCTGCTAGATGTTCCGCCACCTGCTGGTCTCCATGGTGATGTGACTCATTTGCTTATAGTAGCCCTGTACCAGATCATTTTTTCATGAATTTGAGCAAAATATGTCATGCTCCAGTACAGGTATGTTGTATAAGCAGGTCTTGAGTAAGGGTTGGCGATAACTCGATATTTAAAATATATCGAGATTTTTTTAAAACACGAAATAGATTCTGACATACTGTATTGTATATATCAATATATCATATTTTCCGCACCATAGTGCATTCTGGATTATAAGACGCACTGTCATTAAATGGTCTATTTTCAAACTTTTTTCATAAATAAACCACACTGAACTTTAAAGGAAACACAACAGTGTGATGGGTGATTGAGCCTCTAACCCCATCAAAAAACGACCACGCGCTCCACAATCCAGAGCGCCCTATACATGAATCCACTTGGGTGTCCCAGCACGACTTCAGTAAACTACAAAGCCGCACCACCCGCAGAACACACAAACACACACAGAGCAGACAGCGACCGCACAGCGAAACACACCCACAGACACACTCATCACTCCACGCCGACGAGGAACGGAACGGAGGAACGAACCGAAAAAGCGAGTGCAATGTGCCACTTCTAGACACAACTGAACAACTGAGTCACTGTGAACACGCCGACAATCCGTTGGTCCCAGACAGCACCCTCCCTACACGCCACAACTGAACAAAGCCCAGAGTCACCGTGAACGAACAAACAAACAAAACCACTCACCCATCACACTGTTGGGTTTCCTTTAAAGTCTGGTGCGGTTTATTTGTGACAAAAGTTCGAAAATAGACCATTTAATGACAGTGCGTCTTATAATCCAGAGCACCTAATAGTGCAGAAAATACGGTAATATAGGGAATGAGGGGTTGGGTTGGACATTTGGACACAGCTTCTGACGGTTGTGAGACGATTGTAAACTCATCGTGGTGAATAATTACGATGCTCGGATTGAGGAATAACTAAAATGAACTAGATCTGTTTTTCACGTTTTTAAAATACGACAATACGACATTAAACTTGCTATTATTCACTTTACTGAAAAACAATACTGCGTCCAGTGAGTGAGCTTGGCCTGGTGGTCTAATACCGTACTGTGGAACATTCCAGACAAAGCAATGACATCTCCATGGAGACACGCAGGTGGCGGATCCTTCACCAGAAAAGTTACAAAACAATTCCAGGTACTGTTTTCGTAAGGGAATGACTTGGCTCATAATATGGTACTTAGTTATAATCTACTTAAAAAGACGACAAAAAACATGCAAAAGAGTTTGTGTTTTCCAATATTAAAAGCGCACTGCGTAACGTTTCTCGTGGAGAGTCTGACATTGGTTTATATCCACAACACTACGGTACATTACAGTTCAGATCTGTGGAGAGTCGCTCCTTTCACAGAAGGAATTACTGTATTTAAAAAAACACCTGTCATGAATAAATGATGGATGTGTTTAATGTCATTCCACGCAAAGAAATTACATCTCCACGGAGACAAGTACATAGAGAACCCTCCAGTAGAAAAGTTGCGCAGTGCACCTTTAAAAATAGACTTTTGATACAGTACGTTGCACATATGATACTGTGGTCTTTTGCTCTGTTGTTTGTCACCTGAGGATGGTCAAAGTTGAAGGACGCCAACTCACCGAGCCTCTGTAGCATTTCTTCACATCCTCATAAGACAGGTCCTCGATCAGGTGAAACCTACAGGAACAAACCACAAGGAATTATGTTATTTGGAAGATATACTATAGAATTAATGCTTAAAGAGCCCATATTACTCTATTTTCTGATCTGTGTGATAATGTTTCCTCATCACAAACAGACCTGGAGTTGAGTTTTTGTTCATTCACACATTTAACACACAAACCCTGCACAATGAAGATGAGTTCTTCTCTCAAACAGAAAACACTTTGTTCCACCTTGTGATGTCATGTGGTAATAGATGAAGAGCTCCACTGCGTTTTTAAAAAAACTCCATACAGTTTAATTCAAATAATTTGGATAATTTCAACCCTGACCTGCCCATCTGTAATGAACAAAAGGTAAAAGGAGCTGTTAACTTAAATACTTAAATCTCTTCATGACGTCACAAGGTGAAACAGAGCATGTTGAGCTTTGGAGATGTAGACAGGCTAATAATACAGGATTAATCAAACATCATTTGATTTTGGAGTTACCACACACAAACTAACAAATTGCGATTTTTTTTTGTGTGTGTTCAGGACAAACAATGCATTATCAGTGTGGTTCTTTTCATAGTGACAATAGAAGCTGACATGATAGCATTACAAGCAGACCTGGAGTTGTGTTTTTTTTAAACCTCCACACACTTCACTTACACCATTTGGATCATTTCAGCCATTTATTATGAGTCTGTCTACATCTCCAAAGGTCCAAATGCTCTGTTCCACCTTGTGATGTCATGAAGTGGTAGTTTTCATGTTAACAGCTCCTTTCACCTTTAGTAGAGAAAGGCAATTCCAGGATTGAAATCATCCAAATGATTCTAGTGAAGGTGAGTTTAAAAACACAGTGGATCACTTCCTGTATTACCACATGACATCACAAGGTGGAATAGAGTGTTTTTAGTTTGAGAGAAGAACACACCATAAATTTGCAGGGTTTTTATTAAAGGTGCATTACTACATCTACTTACAGTACTTGTACAAGTGTGTACGCTCTGTGGAGATGTTATTGCTTTGCCTGGAATGTTCCATGGTATGACATTAAACACACTGTACTGTGGCCTAGTTGTCACCCTTGAAAAAGATTAGGTTTAATCTCTACTGTGGAACATTACACATCACTAAAGGTGAAAGGAGCTGTTCACTTGAAAACTATCACTACATGACATCACGAGGTGGAAGAGAACATTTGGAGCTTTGAAGATGTAGACAGACTAATAATAGTGTTACTTAAACATGTGTGAGTTTTTATGTTTACATGAGAGCTTTAATTCTGAATAAAGATTATTTAATGCTGAATAATAATTCATTCCACTTTAAAAAGAGCATGTAAACACTTAATTCTTAATGAAAATTACTATTCAGAATTAAACTTAATTCCAAAGTAAGTGGGTGGTTTATTCTGATTTTAAAGCTGAATTAATGTATTCCTTGATCACGTAAACGTTAATTCTTAATAATTCCAGTGCATGTTCTCTGGGTCGCCCTTCTGACGCGATCTGGATGATCCAGCTCCACCAGTCCTGGCTTTGGACTTTCAACTGTCTCTTTGGATTTGTGAGCGGGATGTGGGAGTGGGCTGAGGTAGAGCAGCCTCACACTCAGTTTGTCTTCTTCCTCCTTCTCTGACACTCTTCCCTTCTCCTCCTCAGCTGACAGACGTAAAGCGTGATGAAACAATTCTCCAGCTGCTGCGCAATTATCATCAGAACGCAGCTGAAGTGTGTGTTTTCTTCCGGGAGACGTAAATACGTTCATGTCTCTGTCCAATCAGAACCCTTCCCCACCCCCAGACGCTGAGCGGAATTAAATAGAGCCGATTTTCTTATTTCCATGTAAACTCGAAGGAGAATAATTTAATTCCAAACTGTTTAATTCAGAACAGTTAATTCAGAATTTAAAAACATCATGTAAACGTGGCCAGTGTAACAAAACATAAGTCCAGGTCTGTTTTTGAAGAGGTAACCTTTAGATTTAGACAAACTTTATTGATCCACAAGGAAATCACTGGAATAAATAAAAGCAGTCCTGAAGTGGATGAAAATAGAGTAATACGTGTGCTTTAAGACGGTAAAAATCATGTGCATCGCCTTTAATACTATCATATGTTCGCAGTGAATATGGAAAATCACACAAGTTTCAGTTCAGTCTGTCATTGTGCAGAGCTTTTCCATGAGTGGGAGGATATGTGAAATATACAATGTGTTTCAAGTGCGATGTACTGGCCGACAGTGTGAGGGGAACAATATGTGTGAACACCTGCTCATGTTCTACTCCACGCATGAGTCACAAACAGAGGAGCTTTTCTGTACCAGGCTCTGTGTACTCATGTCTATGCACAAAAACAAGCAGAGAATAACACACAGCAGAGTGGGCAAAAGTATGGATATTCAGATACTAATTGATATTTAAAGCAGTACAGAAACTAGATACTCGTTTGACCAAGTGTAAATACAAAAAATAAAAATATGAATTTGAATGATCTGGATCTATACATTCATAGAAGATGACAGTAGGGCTGTTGCAATAACTGTAAAAATGAATCACCTGCGGTACTAAGAGGTCCACCATGGAGCATGTTGGGCCACCGCGGTCACCGCACGTGACCAACGTGACCCGACCCAGAGTCCTGCACTGGTCCATTTTAAGAGACCCACACCCGCCTGGACCTGTGAACATTCCACCCTTTACTGCCCATGTCCATGATAACCCAGGACTAATCCAGGACTAACTCAGGACCAGTCCAGGACTAACCCAGGACTAATCCAGGACTAATCCAGGACTAACCCAGGACTAACCCAGGACTAACTCAGGACCAGTCCAGGACTAACCCAGGACTAATCCAGGACTAACTCAGGACCAGTCCAGGACTAACCCAGGACTAACCCAGGACTAACTCAGGACTAATCCAGGACTAATCCAGGACTAACTCAGGACTAACCCAGGACTAACTCAGGACTAGTCCAGGACTAACTCAGGACTAACCAGGACTAACTCAGGACTAGTCCAGGACTAACTCAGGACTAACCCAGGACTAATCCAGGACTAGTCCAGGACTAATCCAGGACTAACTCAGGACTAACCCAGGACTAACTCAGGACTAGTCCAGGACTAACTCAGGACTAACCAGGACTAATCCAGGACTAGTCCAGGACTAACCCAGGACTAACTCAGGACTAACCCAGGACTAACTCAGGACTAACCCAGGACTAACTCAGGACTAGTCCAGGACTAATCCAGGACTAACTCAGGACTAACCCAGGACTAACTCAGGACTAGTCCAGGACTAATCCAGGACTAACTCAGGACTAACCCAGGACTAGTCCAGGACTAACCCAGGACTAAGGTGTGCCGCAGGCGAAAGCACCACAGCAGCTCCGCGCCACACAGAGGTAAATGCAGCCGTCACCCGATCGCTCTTTGCAGACACCTGCTCTGTGTGCTCGTGCTCGGGGTTCTCTCTCTCTTAAGTCCGCGGGTACCTGACCTGGTGCAGGACTCTGACCCGACCTGGTGCAGGACTCTGACCCGACCTGGTGCAGGACTCTGACCCGACCTGGTGCAGGACTCTGACCCGACCTGGTGCAGGACTCTGACCCGACCTGGTGCAGGACTCTGACCCGAGCTGCCGCAGTGAGAGCTGCATGTAAAATGTTACATCTCCCAGGTTACACACACTATAGTCACACGACAACCAAGGTTCCTGTGCATCTGCAACAAGCACATCATCAGAGAGAGTTTTCAGAGCCACTGGAAATATTATAACTCCGGGGGGTGTGGGGTGGGGGATGGGTGCGATATCACCGCATATCACGCTGTTGAGCCGCTATACCACACCGCTGGAGAAATTCCCTAACCGCGACAGCCCTAGATGACAGTAATAAAACTTGAATTAATATGTGTTATTAATTCATTAGTATCTATAAAGAGCATTTTTAAATTTTCATGTGGTATCAAATTTAGAACTGAGTATGGAGCGCTTTCCTTAAATGTGTCTGGAATGTTTCACAGTAGAATATTAAACCTTTCCATCTTCACGAAGACCAAACCAAAGAAAGTTACAGGTCAAATCTGTTGAGAGGCGACCCCGTACTCAGTCAGAATGAGTTTGAAGAATGAGAATGAATTTTGAGCTATAAAACCACCTGTTATGGGCCCAGGCCTTCACTTCTGGCTTGTTTCGTGTGTTTTAATTTATTTTTCTGGCATACCTTGATTCCTGTTGTGATATTCCTGGTCGATGATTGGTGGTGCACATCTACACCTGGCCAATCCTGCCTCACCTCCACACTCCTCTCTTTGTTTAAGAAGATTGGCAGCACCTGTTCAGGGCTGCTGGTCTTGGCCAGTCTGTCGTTTTGTGTTTGTGTTTGTCTCTTTCGTGTCAGTCACTTGTGTTGTATGAGTACGTGTCTGAATTTGTTTTGCTGAGACACTAGATTAGTTCTGTTTTGTGCCTTTAATTTGGTCACTCGATTCTGTTTGTGAGCTTAAGTGGTTTACTTTGGGGCACTTGTGTTTTAGTTTTGTGTGAGTCCTTTAGTTTAACCACAGTTTTTTGTGTAAGCCTGCGTAACACATTTTGTGGCACAAAACTGTGTAATTCTGTTTTATTTCTTAGTTTAAGTTATTTTCTGTATATATATTTTAGTCTGTTTTGTGAATTTACCTGTTACATCCCTGTTAAATATTATTTAATTTATTCCATTTTACGTCTTGGTTATGTTGTTACTTCCCTGACCCCAACGAGCTGGGTCGTAACACCACCTGAAATTGAATACACTTAAGGTAAAGCTGTTTAATGTCATACTGTGGAACATTCCAGGCAGAGCAATGACGTACACAATGCACCTTTAATATAAAAATGCTGTATCGTGACAACACTAAATCACATCATTTTTGATAAGATTTGTTGTCATTTTGGTATCAGACCATGTGGGTGACTCTGGCTTATGGAGCAAGAATCACAACTCCAACATAAACAAACATATGTCATGGTTCGCTGATATGCTAATTTGCTGTACACATGAATGAACGTTTTTGACAC